GGATAATTAGAGAACTCTATCAGTGATTGTCCCCTGGGGGAGAGATAGACTCTGGGGAACTGCTGGGTCCCTAGGGCAGTGGCCTTAGCAGCTTGTACTCTTGGAGGTCAGAGTATGGGACCCCAGATCCTGCTGCCAGGGCTGGGACATTCTAAGTGGTGATGGCCTTGGCTCTCACAAGGGGCTGGCGGTCTTTCAAAGAGCCCACAGCGTCTGAGCAAAGGCTTCTGACTCGTATTTGAGCCGTCTGGGAGTAGAGACCCCTGATCTCCAGAGCTGCCCATACAGAGGGGCCTGTTGGTCATCGTGTGTGGGAGGGAGCTGAATCGAGGGAGACTGATAAGGGGCCTGGGAGCCCTTATGTCTCCTAGGAGCTTCTGTTGGGTTCCTGGGTGAAGGGGCAGAGGGGCTGTTCGCCCTCATCACACCGGCAAACAAGGTTTGGCCTTCAGGAAAATTATCATGTTTAGCTACAGCGCTGATGTGGTTTAATGCCTATTTTGCTGTATCTGACACTGTAGTGAGCTGTAACAATATGGCCTTATAACTGGGGGGCGGGGGGAGCTTTAAGAAGAACTCCTTAGGGGTGCCTGGGTGGCTCAGTCGGTTAAGCCTCCAACTCTTGGTTTTGGCTCAGATCATGATCTCAGGGTCATGGGATCCAGTGAGTTGGGCTCCCTGCTCAGCGGGGCGTCTGCTTCCCTTCTTTCTCTCCCTCTGCCCCTCCCTCTACTTGTACTCTCTCTGTCTCTCAAAAAGAAATAAATAGATCTTTAAAGAAAAAAAAAAAAGAACTCCTTAGATTCTGGCCCCAAGGGCACCTTCTGGGTTGGAAGTGGTGAGCGGTGGTGGGGGGCAGGGGATTGTCTGTGGAAGCATGATGGTCAGCGCGTCATGCCCAGTGAGCCATCCCAGTTTTCCACGGGAGGAGGGAGCTTCATCTGGGCTCGTCTGCTCCCAGTGAACCTGAGCTGTAGTAACTGTGATGGGTGGATGGGCCTGGAGCCACCAAGGAAACCCAAGTGAGGAGAGGCGGGGCTGCTTTCCCCTTATCCCTGTTGGACCCCGGAGGCTAGTAGCAGTGGTCTCTTTCTGGGAGTCTCTTCCCTTGTTTGTCTTCATCTCCCTCATCGGTAGTTCAGTTCCTTTGGGAGTGCTGTCGCTGTGCTGACAAGTCCGGAGTCTCCCCTAGGATGTCTCTAATAAAAAAGGGCTTCACTACCTTGGGTGGTGTTTTGTTTGCTGTTTTTTGAATAAATTGTGAATTTTGGGGTCTTTGGCCAAATGGCTAGGGCAGGCATCTTAAGTGCTATAACCAACAGCTTGGAGCTGGTTCAAAAGACCTGTGAGAGCCAACTGGCACCCTTCTCCCCCTCCCCATGGGCAGATTTTTCTAGAAAACCTTTGCATTTCTATCTTGTTTAGTTACTTGCCTCTTCCGTTTCACACTGGTGATTGGATGTTCTGGTTGGACAGACAGTAACAGGGAACACCTGGGATGGAGGCGGCCTCTTCCCTGACCCATGTGCTGCCACCTCCCGTTTTAGGTTATCCCAGCCAACCCCCTGGGTGGTCGGGGCTTAACCCCCACCAGCATGACATGAGCTGATGTGTCCCAGGCCTCAAGAGCGTAGTAGCAGCCTTACGGAGGCACGTCGATACGCCGCACTGCTCGATGCAGCCCAAGCCATGTGAGCAGGGGTCCTGCAAGCATCTCGTGGTTTTTCAGCCTCCTCTGGGCACATGGGAGGAGCTGCTACCATGTTTTCAGGGCCCCTGCTTTCAGTGAGAATTTGTTTTGCTGTACCAGGCCAGGGCCGGGGCTCCTGATAACCCGTGTAGCTGGGGGATCATTTGTGACAACAGCAAGGAATGTGGCAGCCTTGGCCACCTGGAGCGCCATGCTGCCCCCCTAGAACCACCTCTTCCGTGGGTCCTGGCCGGCTTTCCAAGCTCGGCACCCCAGTCCCAGCCAGCAACTTGGTAGGTACAGCAGCCAGCCTCCCCTGGGTCCCTCCTCTAAGGGCACTCTCCTTGCTCCTGGGACCTCACCCACGTCCCGTCTCCCTGCAGGGGGAAAGGAGGCCGAGCCTTGGTGTTCGTGGTTATCAGCTCACCTTGGCCGGGTGCTGGGACTTCGGCAGGCGAGTATTGCCAGCTTCCTCCAGACCTGCTACCTCGCCGGCACTCACACGTCAGCTGCGGCCTGCTGGCAGTCGTCTTTGCAGGCAGTCTCACTTTGACAGCAGCCACAGTTTGGGATGGGGATCTGTGGCCACGTCTGACCGCCGCAGTAGACAGCGGTGCCCAGCCATGCCACAGACCTGCCAGCAGGCCGGGCTCTCTCCCTGGGAGACTGAGCCTGGCAGAGGGCGTTAGGAAGCCGTTGGCAGCTCCGGGGCGTTGTGCGGGGCTACAGGCCACACGCACAGTTGTCTCCTCATTGCCAGTTGTGCTGAGAAACAGGACTGGTATGCTGAATTAAGGACACCCAGAGGGTGACTTGCTGCCACCTGGGATTGGCAGGTAGCAACCTCAGCATCCATGCTCCCACTTGGGGGAAGTGAAACCCAAACCCATGGGGTCCTTTTGACTGAACTTACAGTTTCATATAGCCCCATAAAGGAAGTAGAGTCACAAGATTTAATCGCTTACAGATCCCAGACGCAAGGGAGTGCAGTGAGCTGGGAGAAGGACAGGCCTCTGTCAGGTGGAGTGAGCAAGAGACGGGGCAGGGAGCCAGCACCTGTCACTTTCAGGGTGCTTGGGGCAGAGGTTGCTTAACTTTTTTTGTGGGCTTCATTCTACGTGATTATTTAAAAAGGTGCGGTGGGAAAAGCAAAGGAGGAATTTATGGCAGGAATCCTAAAGTCACGTCCTTATCTAAATGTTGGGCCTCTGGGTGGGTGTGAGTAGGGTTATCATACCTTGAAATGCCTTAGCAGCAACTCCGCAAAACAGTTTGTTGGTCTCATCACACGTCACCCCATCGCACTAAGTGTGCGTTTCTTCTTCTTCCTCTCTCTCTGGTCCCATTTTCAGTGTTCCCCGTGGTGGCAGTCCTGTCTTGGAGGCCTGTCCTCTACCTGCCACCCCCCTCCCCCACAAATAGTAACACTGTGACCGCTGGCATGCAGCGTCATGCCACTGGGTCATCTTCGGCCATCAGCCAGTAAGAGATCAGGATTTCAGAGCCAAGAGCAGTAAGCACATGGGAAGGCTGCTGAGGGACTCTGGGGAATGTGCATGGTGGGGCAGTCTGAGGGGAGGTGAACTCGGGGTGCCTGGAGCATTAGAGAGGAAAACAGTGGCCCCCGCAGGCCCTGCCCACGGAGAAGAGGGATAGACAGCTAGCTTCCTAATTTGCCAGCACACGCATGTTTGAGAGGAGAACTACACGGAATGAGACTGGAGAGAGCTGCTGACCGTGCTGATGATGGCCGCGGGGTCAGGCCCTGTCAAGCTGGAGCACCGACAAAGAAATCGGTGTCACCCCCATCAAGAGTCCCCCAAGCTTCGGAGACTTCTGTGAACTGTCTGTAATTTAGCCTAATGACTATCATTTTAGCCGTCACGCACACCACTGAGTGCATCTGATTTATCTGTGTGAGTTTTATTTGATTATGGTGGTAGATCCCGTGTTTGTCCGCGGAGTCTGTACTTGGGCTCATCAGTCTCATGTCATGACCTGCTCTTTCTCTGCAAGTTCATAGGTTACTCTTTCCTTTAGGTGACCCTTGTCACACGAAAGCCTGGGTGATTGGTTGTAAAATACCACGAACATTGTCAGGTGAACTGGCAGACGTGAGAAGATGGCACATTTTTTCCCAGCTTACCCTCTGAACTGTAGACATTTATATTTTAGAATACTTCTCTTTGGCCTGTCTCTGTGCTTAGTGGAAGCTGCTGGTCTTCCTGCCTACTTAGGAGGAGGGAGGGATGGGAAGGGAAGGGCTCTATCCAAGAGGAGCTGAGGGTTGTATACGTGGAATCAGGGCCACTCAGGCTCAGAGGACTTGAAGTGGGAAACCTCATTTGTTGGTATGTATTTCATGAGATGAAGAGTGAGTCAGAACTTAGTTCTGTAAGTTCTTAGTTCTGTTTTTGATTGAGTTAACAGGTAGATGGATGGAATGGCTTTCCATCCAAGAGTCATTCCTATTTCAGTGGTATACAGCGGAGAAGCTACTAGTAAAGACACCTCCGGGAATATGTTTGTTAATTCAGAGAGCGAATGCCTAGTAGGCCAGGAACATCTTAAAAGCCTGTAGTTTTCCACTTTTGCCTATCAAGGGGATACTGCGTAGGTACTAAAAATATAAATTCGTTGAGTTGTGTTTGCAAATTCTCTCAAGAAGTGTGAGTGAAGTAGAGGAGAGTAATAGCAGCTAGCGTATATTGAGTGTGTGCCTTTGTGGCTGACACGCCGCTTGATCCTTCATGTGCGTGCACTATTTTGTCTAGTGGATGCAGCCACATGGAGAGGCAGGTGTCACCATCTACTTTTACAGAGAAGGCAGCTGAGGCACGGAGAAGTTCCATAGTGTCCCTAGTGCACAGAAGGTAGGATTCGGCAGCTCCCTGCCAATCTAACTTCTTCATTAACCCCCTTATGTACTGTGCTCTCATGCTGCCTATGTTGGTTATGTTGAAACTAAAAGTCCTTTTAAGAGACTTGAACACATTGTAACATTACAATAATAAGCTAATTTGTAATGACATGCAAACATTTCCCAAAGAATAGTAAAATATTCACTGTGGTACTCAGAGCAAAAAAAATTTAACAATTTGATTTATCTTCGGCTTATTTACCAAAGACGGTGGAGTGCTCGTATCAGGTATCATCCGGATGAGAACCGAAAGGGGGTGGTACTAATAGTTCCGTGGTGATAACAGGAGTGCACTGGACTGTCCTAGCAGCCAAGTCACGCCGTCACCCTACTGACTGTTGTCTGTCTTGCTCCATATTAAAACAGTTCTTCACGTGTTTGACCTTCTAGGGGGATTCCTCAATGTCAATGTAAGTGAAATCAGTTTTGATGAAATTCATCAACTCTTCTCCAAGGATTTAGATATTGAGCCAGGAGGTCACTGGAGGCCTAAAGACTGTAAACCCAGATGGAAGGTGAGGTAAATTTTTTCCTAAGTAATGTCATTGTTCCTATGTGTCTGAGTGAGGAAAAGTGCGTTTGATTCAGGATATACAGTGAAATACCTTTGTCTCTTGAAAATTTAAGACCTCAGAAGTTTTGCATTTAATGTATAGGTGTTCACAGTCGAGGTACGATCTAGTAGTGTTCCTTGTGAAGACTCTGACCAGACCTGCGTGTTAACAAAATACGTGCTCGTGTGCATCTCGTGGAGATTCTGCTAATAAATGCCTCACTTGCGATTGGCTTGGAAAACAGCTTTTTCCCCCCCTGTTTTCCTGTTTCCTTCTCTGCTTCCTGCTGCTATCCCTAATGATTACTCTCACCTGCAGGCATAGCCTCACCAAGTCCTGAACCGTGATTTCCAGGTGGGTCTCACGTCGGGGTTCCTCAGAGTCCCGGAACCTTGACGCGGCGGCTCAGAGGTCCCTGTGGGATGCGATAAGGAAAACTTAGGTATTTCAGAAGGCAGAGCACAAGCTTTTTATCTTTTTGACATGTCAGAGTTCTAATTAATGTTTTGTTTGAAAAACTATAAGGGAGTAGGTCTGCCTCTGCTGCTTAAAATAAATTGAAAACTGTGATTTAAATCAGAGTTGCTTACAGTACTGTGAAATTGGCTAGTTGGGTGCATATTCTGGTAAGGCGGTTATGTTTGAGTAGGAAGTAGCGTTCACATAATTCAAGTTAAAACTACATATGATTAAATCATACGTCCTATCCTCAAGGAGTGTGATATAGCCTTAATTTGGAAAGAGTTTTCAATTCCTCTTTTTAGCATTAGTATTTTGCTAAAATATATGTCTTTTTGTACACAAAATCACTGCTGAGAAGGAGATTTTAGTTAAAAGCCCTTTGACTTAATTGGCCTTGAACTCTGTGTTTGGGGAAGTATGTTATTTATACCTGCATCCCTAACGCAGAGTATGTTGTCTTGTCTAAGGTAAGCCCTAAACCTGGTTTTGTTGAATTGAGGTTATGAGATAAATAAATGTCTTGAGACAAATTATTAAATACAGCTTTGGTTGTTTTTTTTTTGTCTGTTTGTTTGTTTTGCCTCAAACAAGTTGTAAAGGTGCTGAAATGGATTCCAGTACAAATTTTGGCAGATCATTTATTTTACAGTTGTCTGGTCAGATTCCATTAATAAATGAATCTTCGTATTTCACGACTGATTTTTTTCACACTTGTAGGTAAAATAGGGTCTAATTTACACAATTCTACTTTTAAAAAATGTCCCAGGCAAATAAATTATTTTTCTTACTTGGGTGTTGAGTGTGTATATTGAATGCAAATGAGAGAAAAAAGCACAATTAATCACAACGGTTGTGCGGTAGTGTGGAGTTGGTCCTCAGACGTATCAGTGTGGGGTACAGCATGCTGCACAGGTGTGCATGGTGTGATATGGTAAAATAATTTGGGATTGAAAAATTAAGTATTCTTGTCCTTTCTTCATTGGTCTGTATCAGACACTGGATTTTAAATTTTATGGTTTGTTTTCTTCTCATTTTCTGGGAGAAAGGTATATCACACACAGAAGTAGTTCCTGTTTTAAAGATTTTAGTAGACAGTAAACTCCATGTGAGTGACTAGGTAACAATATTGGAAGTGGAGTTCCTAGGAGCAAGCTAACTCAAGGATCTAAAAATAAGCTTATTTTATTAAGGAACTGTACGGTAATGGCTGCTCTTATTTCAACTTGACACAAACCCTTCTCAGAAAAGTTTCTGGTTCTGAGCTATGCAGCTAAAGGTAGGAGACAAAATTTGGATGTCATTCAGAGGTGACTTGAATTTGCCATATTTAACTAATTAAGTAAGGACTCTCCTTGTCCTCTCTCTGCCCCCGACTTGTTCACACTTTCCTAACGTCCCATTCCAATCTTAGAACAGAGCTGAGAGGGAGAAAAAGAATTACTAGATTTATGTTACACATGGGGCTACCAACATGATTCTTAATATTTGAGGTTTTTTTTCTTTAAAAAAAAAAAAAAACCAACTAAGTTCATTGATGGCCTATTAATTGGAACTGAGATCTTCCAAATCTGATGATTTCAGCAATTCTCAGGTGTTGTTGAACACTGGAGGTTCAAGTGGAAAATTCAGCACATGTTGGAGGCCTTATGGAGGAAGGCAAGCTTATTTTGAAGGGGGGTGGATAGAAGGCAAAGATGGCGATGCTTTTCTGAACATTCAAAGTAAAGTGTTCACCTATGGCTTTGCCTTTCCATTTGGGAGTCAGTGGGAGGTCTGAGCCACTTCTGTCTAAAACCTAAAGGCTGAAAGGACCAGGCAGTGCCCGCTGCATGTGTCTGTTCAGAGGCATGGGGTTCTGTTTCTCATCTCCGATGGCTCAGAGATGAGTCTTAGCCACCTGTGCAGAAGAAGGTAAAAATGATGATTCTTGAACATAGTGCTCAGACATTCTGATGCTCTTGGTGGGAAGGGACAAGAACCTTTTTTATCAAGTGCCTCCTGTTTGAGAAGCTCCTGTAGACACTGGAAGTGGGAAGGCTGAGAAAGAGGGAGCCGGAACACTGCAGAGAATGAGAGCTCAGCGGCTTCTGCTGTGTTCCATCCTAGGCAGTGGGAGAATAGTGAGCCCTCGCTGGAGGCAAGCGTGGAGCCGGGTCACCCAGGGACACCGTAGCTGCTGGTGTGCTTGAAGTTTGGAAGTAGGACACATACTTGATGGGAAATAGCATGTAGTAAACACTTTTCTTGCTGATCTTCTCATGGTCAGAATAAGAGAAAATAAGCGAGAAAAATAGGTGCATAAATTCAGTAAGATTAGTAGTTTAAAGTGAGGGCAAACTGAATGGGATAATTTTGCTTGAATAAGAGGTGGTGCGGAGAGATTCATGAAGATGGAGTATTATTTTGCAGAAGGTAATGACCAGATGTTGTGTGTCTCCATTGGAAATGCATCCACAGGAGAGTAGCTCAAACAGCAACTTAGGGTACCTGCCAAAAATGCCCTGAAGCAGAGGTTATTAAATCTTGAAATAGATTATTGCAGAACACTGAGATCTTCATTTTCTAGGCAATAAATTGTAAAATTTTTGAGAATGTCATTCCACAGCCACAAGAAGTGACATGCCAAATGAATTTCTAAGATACCATTTAGCTTTGTTTTAATAAAAACTTTAGGCAAAATATTCAAAATATTTGATAGCTGTCTCATTAAAAAATGGACATTTATTTGCTATTAAGAGAACAGTTTGGCTTATTTTGAATCTGTCAAGACATTGGTCATTTCATTTCCCATATTCTCAGTTTCTTTATAAGATTAAGAAAGAAAAACAGCTCTTGATATTTTAAATCCTTCATTGAACAAACGACTGTATTAGGGACTATGACTTTGTTTATTCTTAGATGTTCAACTCATCACTCAGTGTAATTGCATTTAATTAACATGGACTTAGCAGCCATTTAATAGCTTCTTTCCTTAAATATCCATAATTTTCCTTAACTGCTTTTATAGCCCATTTGTATTATGTCCTAGGCGGCTAACCTGTGGCCAGATTCAGAATGAGGAAGGGCAAGCTTGATGGGCAGAAGTTATCACGCTGTTCACTTCAGATAAGGCTAGTGGTCGGGGTCTTTCTTGCCATCTGACTCCTTCCTCTCCTTTGACTTTTTGTAGCAGTTCACTCTCCTAAGAGTGAACCTAGGGGTCCTTACTAGCTTTGGGAGTTGTACTGATTTGGGAATAGTGTGGCTGCACCAGCAATGGACAGTGACTCCCACCAGCAGGTCCTCAGTCACGGAGGTGGGAGGGATCGAGGGAACACTTAGATGTGGGGTAGGTTTGCTCCAGCAGCCTTGTGGTCTTCAGTTCAAGAGGTGCCTTATGAGAAAGCCACATGGGAATGGGATCCAAAGTGGGACTGGCAGAGGCACGAGAGCCTCCTGAGCTCCTACCACATACCGAATATAAGACAGTGTGAACATGAAGACGGCAGCCTTGTAGTGGCCGTCGTGCCTCCCTGCATTAAGGGAAAATTAGTGGTGGTGTTTCTAGTTTAGACGTTCTTAGTTTTGCTAAACTATCTTTTTGGGCTTTTTAAAAAGAAAACTAATATTTAGAAAACATTTGAGTTTTTCAAGAGCAAAATCTAAATTGTAGGGCAACCTAGCTTGTATGACAAAGTTTGGATCCAGGAAATAGAGGATTTGAATAAGTGATGATTGATAATATTCATTTATTCTTATTTTATGTGAACACATTTTATGTAGATGTTGTTTTTTAGTCTTGATTTTCAGAGTCCCAATACATTTTTTTCCTACTAGAAGAAACATTGATTTACTGAGAAACCATTTAATTTCCATATATATATTTTTTTCTTTTGTCCTTTAGATTATGTAAGAAACACATTTTTTTGGCTGTTTAAAAAAGATAAATTTCTCTCTTTTCTGCTGTTTACGTTACTTTTTTTGTTAAGCTTCACTTTAAACCCAGTATTATCCTATCAGTGAAATAAATATAACATGTATCAAAAATTCAGTTGTGCATTTTGATTAAATGAAAGGTATTAATATAATTATGATACTTCTATGATATATCCCTTATATTTCTCAAAATAACTCTAGGTCAGGTAAGTCACGTGTAGGATAGTAGATATTCAATTGGGATCTCTTTTAATTTCAGTTTAAAAACCATGAATTTATTATTTATGATCTACTTTAAAACCTAGAAGTTACTCTTGACACATCCCTTCCCCTTACTCCTTCTATCCCATCCATAAACCAGTCCTGTTAATTTACTTCTTAAATGTTTCAAAATTCATGTACCTCTACTCTTTTCCACTCTCCCCTCAGTTCTAGCTACCATTGCCTCTTGTATTGACTAATTGCGTTAATGTCCTAACCAGCAACCTGAATCTATTTTGGGCTTTTTCCAGTCTACTCTCCATGGTAGTGTTTGCCATCCCCAAATGGGATTTTATCACTTTTAGTGAATCTTTCCAAGATTTCCCATGGTGTTGTTAGAATAAAGATGCAATCTAAGGAGTGGCCCTCAGAGCCCACTTATACCTCCCCAGGTTCACCAGACCCTGAGTGGCACAAAGGCAAGGGCCATGTCTATGTTTTCTCACTGTTAGATCTCTGGTGAGAAAATCCATAAAGGCAGGACTTTAAAACCTTTAGAAATTTTTAAGGATCAGTTTTTATCTTTACCTCCAGGGCTTGCTGTTCTATTTATTTATATATGTGACTATTTTGTTTTTAAAGGTGGCAGTTCTCATTCCTTTCCGTAATCGCCATGAACATCTTCCGATTTTTTTCTTGCATCTGATTCCAATGCTCCAGAAGCAGAGGCTGGAATTTGCCTTTTATGTCATTGAACAGGTGAGAATGTTATTCTTTTTCTTTCACTTTTTAAAAATTTTTTTAAAATTTTATTTTTTTTTTAGAGAGAGCGTCTGTGTAAGTTGTGGGGGAGGGGGAGAGAGAGAGGGAGAGAAAGACTCTGAAGTGGGCTCCATGCTCAGTGCATAGCCCGATGTGGGGCTTGATCTCACAACCGTGAGATCATGACCTGAGCTGAAATCAAGAATTGGACACTTAACCGACTGAGCCACACAGTGTCCCAGGTGAGAATATTTTTCAAAATGGTACCTAAGTGTACTGGAACTTAATAAATTCTTAGATATATGGTGGGATTTAAAAATGTTTAGCTTAGAGTGAATCTTTAGTTTCATATTTGGGTAAATTCTTATTTGGGATTGAGTATGTTACATATGCCACATTTGTTAATCCATTTATCAGCTGATGTGCTCCTGTTGTTTTTAATCATCCATGTCTTACCTATTAAAATGAAACTTCTGAAAAATTTTTTAAATTTTTTTATAAACATATAATGTATTTTTAGCCCCAGGGGTACAGGTCTGTGAATCGCCAGGTTTACACACTTCACAACACTCACCAGAAACATTTTTTTTAATTAGTCTTCATATTATCAGCTAATTTTTTTCTATAAATATTTTTCATATCTCAGTATTCCATACATTACAATTTCTTTCAGTCTTATTTGCACCCTTTGAGGATATTTACCATACTTTTAGTTTTTTCCACCTCTGTCATTACCTAGTTTTATACTTAAAGCATTGTCTTCGATTTCTTCCGTCATCTTTCCCCATCCCCATCTCCCAAGCACGAGGCACTTGCTGAATTTTATCAGTGATTTCTAGGTAGCATTTCTAAAAAGGTGCACTCCATTTGTGTTTCAAATATATTGTAATTTGGGAACTTTTGGTTTTGACCTTGATAACCTCATTTTATCCTGATATTCCTTCTTTTTACTCACACTAAACCTGACTAAAAATGGATTTCCTTACTTATCAGTAGACAGAAAGTGACCTAGCTTACATTATTAAATGCTCCTTGTTGTGTTTGTTTTTTTTTTTGTGAAACATATTCAAATTATGTTCCTAAGATTATTATATATAGTATGTTTTCCCAGCTCCTTTGTGGCTTATTTTAGATCTCCTTTTAGCTTTTTGCCTGTACTTCCCCCCCCCTGGAAATACTTGGTGTTTATTATAACTTACACTTCTCTGTATGTAAATCACCTTTTTAAGGTAATTTGTTCCCATTCAGTGATGCATATAGTGTATGTGTACTTTTTAATGTGACAACCTATACTATGAAAATGGATTTTTTAATTATCTGATAACAAATCAAAACTTTTAACTTCTTTCATGATAGCCATAGTTAAAAAACCTCTAGGTCAGTTTTACCAACTGCTAGTTTCCTTTTTTGAAACTTCAGTCTTCTAATGTGTAGGGAGGTGAGATGTGTGCGTCTGTGTTTTTACAGTCCTCCGCTCTACCAACTGAGCTATGGAAGAGGGCACTGTGTTTGTGCTTTTAAAGGCATATTCTTCTGAGAGTCCAGCACTGCTGAATTATTTTGTGTAGGTGATGAAGCAACCTTTACAAACCAGCTAAGATCCATATTTTATAAACCACTTAAGTCTAAATCTCAGCCTTGATCAGTATTAATTCAGCCCATGTATCTGATGGTGGGTGGTTTTGAGGTAGTAACATTTTTACCACATGTGAAAAAGAAGAGTGATTCTTCTGCTGGACTGGTGCCCAGAGGAGCCAAGCAATTGAAGAACAGCTTAGAAGTTCCAGTGCAATAGGGAACAGTGAACACACATTTACCACTTCTCTTTTTCAAACTCCTAAAACGAGAGTGAAAGGAAAAAACTTAAAAAAAAAGTTTTAAACCACAAGGACAAAAGAGTCGGTCGTTGAGAGATTGCAACACATTTCTGGACGTCAGGAAGCAGATGGGGCACTCACAGCTCCTGTAATAAAGCAGAGGATGTTCAAACCCACATGCTTGTGGAGGGTGATGGTGACAAGTGTTGAGTCAGTTTGCTGGACAAAGTCCCACGGATCCCGGCAGTTGAAAGATGTCACAGGTAGACTGAATTACAGGGCTAAAGTAACAGGGTTGTTTAAAAGTTTGATTGCAAAACAATCAGATTCCCACTTCCCCATCTTTGCTTATGCTGCCAAGGGATTACTCCGTTGTGTCTTGTAAAAAATCAAAGTTTAAGTTTGTCCTCTGGAGAAACCACACCACAGAAAGTCCTGACTCTGCTGGCCCAGCTCAGCTTGAGGGGCTTTGGAACAGAGGGGCTAAGTAAGTTTGCATGCCAGCTCTAGAGACCCCTCAGGCCTTTTCTCTGTTGGTACGAATCCCCTGAGCCCCTCCAACTGAGGCACGGCATGACTAGTATCTTTGTTAGAGAAACAGATTAGCCCCAGGGAAAAGATGCCTCATCTAATATTTAGAAATTTCCAAAGGAAGATCCAGCTCATCGCCTTATCAGCTCCATGAAGCTCTTTCCTTCATGCAACACTGGGGTTACAGCAGTGAGCTCAGCAAGGCAAGGCCCTTGTTCTGATGAGGAGAGATGGACAGCACATAACCTGTGATATGTCAGGAGGGGTTTGGGGGTAAAAGGGCAGAGAGAGCAGTAAAGGTAGGGAGATGTGCTCTTTTATATAGACTGTTCTGGGAAGGCCTCTTGGGGGAGGTGACGTCGGGGCAGCCTTGAGTCATGTGATGGGATGTGGATTCCAGGCCAGTGTGTCTGTCCAGTGCTGGAGTGCTGGGTGGGGGGTGGTGTCAGGGAGGAAGTCCAAGAGGGCGTGAGAAGCAAAAATGGAAGGCGGAAAGCCAGGGTGGGGGCATGGATTATCACCAGTTGAGGCTGGAAGACACTGGAGGGTTTTCAGTAAAGCAGTGACATAATCTAACTGAGGCTTTGAAAAGATGACTGTGGTGAGAGCAGAGTGGGGCAGGAGTGGAGATGAGGGCAGCTGTGGGCTTTGCAGAAGTCCGGCAGGAGGAGACATGGGCTTGCGCTGCCGCGGTCGCTGAGGGGGAGGTGAGCTGTGGTGGGGTTTGGCTGACTCCGTCGGGTTGAAAAGTAATATTACTGCTAATGAATCAGATGCGTGTTGTGAGTGATGGAGAACTGTCCGCAGTGCTGGCATGTGTGTGTTGAACAAGGGTGTTGCCGTTTTCTGGGCTGTCAACATGTAGGGCATGGGAGAGGAATGGGGCTTTTGGTTTTATATTTTAGTTTGGTTTAAGGATTTGCTTATGCACCGGTGTGGTGTATGTGCATGTGTGGTGTATGTGTTTGAGTCAAGAGCGGGATGCCACAGAGCTCTCAAAGCTTCGTGGAGACTCTCCCCAGCTTTTTAGAGCCTCACTCTCAAGCATGAATGCCAGGGCTACTCAGATCTTGAAGAAAGCTTGCACAAGAGGGGATAAAACCAATCCAAGAGAAGGAGTGTAGAGAATAGAGACAATGAAGGAAACAGAGAAAATCTTAAAAGAACAACAAAAGCTCATAATCAATATCCACAGAGAGAAAAGATCATGAATCTGCAAAAATAGGGCGTCATAAAGGAAGAGTAGTCGGAATAAGGATGTTATTGTAAAAGAAAGTGCCCAAACTAAAACAAAACTGAGTACAATGGCTGGAAGATAAACTTAAGAAAATAACTCCTAAAGTAGAACAAGATGTAAGAAATTAAGACGATCAGTCAGTACCAGTATGTCACAGGGTAACCACCTCCCAGATGGCCCGCAAGGAGTTTTGCCTCTGTGCAGCCAGGCCTCGTGTCGTCTCTTCCCACAACGAATATGGGCTGACTTGCCTGGCAGCCAGATTGCAGGAATGGCAGTGTGTGACTTCTGAGGCTGGGTCAGAAAGACCTGGCTGCTTCTGCCTTGGTCTCTCCGATCCCTCACTGTCAGGGAACCCAGCTGCCAGGTCACGAGGACACTCGGGCAGCCCTGGGGAGGGGAAACCAACTTGGCAGCATCATCTTGCTGGCTGTGTGAGCGATCTCCCACCCCCTCACCCCCCACCCCAGAAGTGGATCTTCCAGGCCAGGCCGAGATGTCATGGAGCAGAGAGAAGGCATCTGTGGGGTTGTGTCCCAGTTCCCTGCTCACAATTAGCAGTAGACTCACTAATCCAAGTTCTGGAAAAGCAGAGCACAAAGAAACTGGGGAGGGAGTAGGGAGAAAAAGTCCAAAGAAATAATATAAGAAAGTTTCCCAGAAGGAAAGGCATGTCTTCAGATTGAAGGAACTGACCGGTACACGTGAATAAAATCTAGATCCACTGTGAAGCGTGTTATTTTGAAATTTTAGAATACGAATTAAAAAGAGAATATATAAAGAAGAAATTCTGTAGAATTTCCAGTGATTATATATCAGGATCATAGGAAACTTCTCAGTAATGCTGATAGCTAGAAGATTGTGGATCCAGGCCTTTATAATTCTAACGGAGGAGCACCTGGGTGGCTCAGTTTGGGTTAAGTGCCTGCCTTCAGCTCAGGTTATGATCCTGGGGTCCTGGGGTCGAGTCCTGGCTCTGGTTCCTTGCTCAGCAGGGAGCCTGCTTCTCTCTCTGCCTCTGCCTGCCGCTCCCCCTGCTTTGTGCCCTCTCTCTCTCTCTCTCTCTGACAAATAAATAAAATTAAAAAAAAAAATAATTCTAGAGAATGTGATTTTTAACCTAGAAATTTTTACCCAGCCAAAATGTCAATCAGTTGTGAGGTAGACTGATGATAGATAGATAGTCTTTTTTTTTTTTTTTAAGATTTTATTTATTTATTTGACAGAAAGAGATCACAAGTAGAGAGGCAGGCAGAGAGAGAGGGGGAAGCAGACTCCCTGCCGAGCAGAGAGAACTTGATGCGGGGCTCGATCCCAGGACCCTGAGATCACGACCTGAGCCGAAGGCAGAGGCCTTAACCCACTGAGCCACCCAGGAGCCCCTGAAAATGGTCTTTTTTTTTTTTTTTAAAGATTTTATTTATTTATGATGATAGATAGATAGATTTTTTTTTTTTTTTTCATGGACCCTTACTTAGGAAGCTGTTGAGGGATGTGCCTTAACAAATGGAGAAAGCCAAGTCAGGGACAGGGGTGATGTCAGGGAATGAAGAAGTCCTAGGATGAGAGGTGCCCATGGTTAGACCTCTCCAGACTGGAGCAAGAATCCAGGGCAGTGGGAATTGGCTTTGGGCTTGAGGAGGTGGAAAAGGAGTTGATAGATGACTTGATGTGCTCGAATTACATCAATTATTAATAAGTAAAATGTTTATCTCTTGGGGCTTTTGTACAGAGTAATAATAGAAAACTAAGAAAACAGAAGCAAGTTACTAATCCCAGTTTAAAAAACAGCATCATAATTCACTTGGCACTCAAGAATGTGTGTGTGTGTGTATGTGTGTGTGTGTGTGTGTGTAATTTATTTGAGATAGAGCGAGAACACAAAGGGAGAGGGAGAAGGAGAAGCATACTCCCCGTTGAGTGGAGAGAGCCCAATGTGGGGTTCAGTCTCAGGACCTTGAGATCATGACCTGAGCCAAAGGCAGATGCCCAACCAAACAAGCCACTCAGGTGCTCCTGCACTCAAGAAATACTTATGCAGTCCTAATGATGTAAATTATGATATAACTGTATTGGGAAAATGGATGGGGGGCAGTGAGTATGGTGGTGTGAATCCTCAGTGGCCATGGTAGGAAGTCAGTAGACAATGTCTAACATTAATGAAGCCAGGAAATGTCAGAACTCTCATCACCTTGCAATATGGATAGAAGTGCCGGATAAACCACTACAGGAGGTGAAATGCTCTACTTTTGGAAGGTGAAGATGGGTTAGACATAGACTTCTTATTTTGATTATAAGCCATAAAGTATTATGTCCACACTTAATAAAACCAATTTTTTAAAACCTTAAAGGAATTTGTTCACACTGATGTTGATGTGCCATAGTGACACTGTAATTTAACTTAACTCCCTTTCCTTTTTACTCTCCTTTTCAATGGTGAAGAAAGAAGCTGTAAAAAGTAAAGTGAAAAGTAAAAGTAAAGTCAAGTCCGTGCAGGGCTCAGGACTGGGAATTAGTTTCTCTCTCCGGCGGCAGCCCTCTGGTGATGACTGTGCTGTGTATCTCATTTGCTGCTGTCATCATCTTATTTTATTTTCTAGTTTGGAAATGATTTTGAGAAATATTACGAAGGCGTGGATAATTGCTGTTTAATTTCCTTCAGATACAGAATGAAGCAATTTCATTGCCGGTGCACCTTTATATAATTTCCCTCATAAATAAAGGGAAGTGAGTATTCTGTAGGAAGTTGGGTTCTGTGTAATAAGTTCCCATCTTCTTGTCCCTTAAAGTGTACTTGGTCTGTATCATAAGCAAGAATAATAAAAATAGGAAGTGTTTGTTGCCCATGCACTTTAATAGACTTTTCTTAATAATAAAGGTAAATGGTTGTAATAAAGGAAGTTGGGTTTTGTGTAGTAAGTTTCACTTCTTTATGTCTCTCAAAATGTTGGTGTCTTTATTGTAAGAATTAACAGTACAGAATTAGCTCTCACTGGCCTTGTTCTGTAAGCAGAGGCCTACTGTTTGTCCTGTCCCAGTTAGCTTCATGCTTCTCTTAGCCTTGACACATATGGAAAGCTTCACTAAAAAATACAACCTAGGGGTGCCTGGGTGGCTCAGTGGGTTAAGCTGCTGCCTTCGGCTCAGGTCATGATCTCAGGGTCCTGGGATTGAGTCCCGCATCGGGCTCTCTGCTCAGCAGGGAGCCTGCTTCCCTCTCTCTCTCTCTGCCTGCCTCTCTGTCTACTTGTGATCTCTCTCTGTCAAGTAAATAAATAAAATCTTTAAAAAAATACAACCTATATTATTATTTTTTAAAGATTTTATTTATTTACTTGACAGAGAGAGACACAGCAAGAAAGGGAACAGAAGCAGGGGGAGTGGGAGAGGGAGAAGCAGGCTCCCCGATGAGCAGGGAGCCTGATATGGGGCTCGATCCCAGGACCCCGGGATCATGACCTGAGCCGAAGGCAGACGCTTAACAGCTGAGGCACCCAGGCACCCCACAACCTATATTATTTTTAATGGTTTTATTTTTTTCTCCTGGTCATAAGTGATCTGTATTCTGATGTATTTGAAGTAAAACAGAAACATCCCATAAATGCACTAGATGACAGCGTTTTCTTATATGTGACCAAAGTACAAAAGAATGTAGTAAGTAAATCTAAACCACATATTTGGAGAACCTGACATGTTTTCTTGTTTTATCTAGTTGATTTGGATGTATTTACTCTTATTATTTGACCATGATTCAACAAGTTAGAAAACCATAGAGCAAAGTCAGATGACAAAGCCTGACTACGTTTCTGTTTTCCTTTGTGAAGACTGGCATACAGCCTTTTAACCGTGCGATGCTCTTCAATGTGGGCTTCAAAGAGGCCATGAAAGACAGTGTCTGGGACTGCGTCATCTTCCATGATGTGGATCATCTACCCGAGAATGACCGAAACTATTACGGCTGTGGAGAAATGCCACGTCATTTTGCAGCGAAGCTGGATAAATACATGTATATGTGAGTAATAAGCCTTCCTCTTGAGAGCAGACCGTATACTTAAAAATCGTGTCATTGAAGGGGTAGCTCTCTCAATGTGCCTGGATCTGAGGGCTCAAAAGCCTGAGAGATCTTGCACTCCACTCAGTCTTCACAGGGAGCTGGGGTAGTCACTCGCCCGCCATCTAGGTGCTTCCTCACACAGAGGTGTGCATTTGGGTGGATGGGAAAGAGAACATGGGCTCTATGTCAGGCAAAAGTAGGTTTAACTTTGGGTTCCCCACGTACCAGTGATAGGACTTGGTTTGTTCCTTCTATCCCTGCATGTTGGTTTTCTTGATCGTTGGAGTCGTAGAGTCTGACCCTAGGACTGTAGGAGACCAGACACCCTGGGCCTGCCCTGAGTAGGTGCATGGAGCACACAGTGGCTCCCTTCTTTTTTTTTTTTCTTTCTTTCTTTCTTTTTTTTTTTTTTTTTCCAGATTTTATTTATTCCTTTGGGAGAGACAGAGATAGTGACAGAGAGCGCAAACAGGGAACACGAGTCGGGAGGAGATGGAGGAGTGGGCTCCCGGCCAAGCAAGGAGCACAGAGAGCGCCTTGATCCCAGGACCCTGGGATCATGACCTGAGCCGAAGGCAGACGCTTAACCGATGGAGCCACCCACACAACCCCCGTAGTGGCTCCTTTCTGCTTCCCCTTCTCCAGTGACTTGTTATGGTGCGGAGAAGGCCCTTTCTCTGTCGTGTGTCTTCTTTCTAAGTTATAGCTTCTTGTCTTGCCCTTGTTAATAAGAGGCAGACCTTTCTTGCTCTCTGACTGCACATTCCTTGAAATGTAAACGGTCAGTGGAGCTGTGACAGTAACTTACGTCGGCACTGAAGCATGGAAGTCATCACAGTTTTCATTGGTTGATGGAAGTGGAGAGAGGACAGAGCAGAACAGAGAGTTCAGTTGTAAGCCTGGAGCAAAAGAGATGTTCCCTACTTCACAGTTATGCCTGCTGCCTGACCTACAGGCTAGGGGGAGGCAAAAAGTGTGAAGGACATGACCAGGTGAATCAGCACTAGAACAGGAAAAGAATACTTTTTTTTTCCCCTCTCTCTTTCTTCTTTAGTTTATTTATTATGTCTTCCTTTTACCTAATTTTTCTTCATTTTGGATATAGTACAATCGATTGTTTGCACTTAAACAGAACAATACATGGAATTAATGTGCTTACCAATTTATACATGTTAATGAAAACACACATGCACTTATCCATATCTACCTATCTATTGATCTGGAGTTTCTCCCAAACCAGCAGCCTGGGGAAGAAGAATCTAACTGGTGTGGGAAACCCATGCCATGACGAGTACCACCAATACTTGTCAGCCCTGCTGACCCCCAGCTCGTGATATAAGCAGGACCGTTACTTCCCAGATGTAAACCTCGTGCCGTCTCCTGGGACACTGTGGTTGTCCTTGGGCACCTCTAGCCATTGGGGCCAAGACTGCTTTCTTCCTCACCCACTGAGTCCATGCAGGAGCTGCTTCTCCCACACCGGATCTCCGTGGGCACCCAGCACTTCTTCCCACAGGGAATGAGACGAGATGACAGTCCTCCCACAAAAACGATGAGATCTGCTCTCTCCCCTTCTCTGAGGCAGCTTTGCTATAGTCCCAGCCGGATTTCCCTCCGCTCGGTTTCTAGTTGCTGCACATGGTCAGATTTTCCCTGCTGGCCCCCCACATTGACCTGACCTCTGCAGGGGCCCTGCTGTACCACTTCCCATTAGTACGGTTGGGGCCACTGGAATTTACTCAGAACTAAGTCTAGGGGTGCTCTATATCTAGATATAGATCAGAAAACCAATCTATATCTAAACAACTTGGTTTGCCGAATTCCTTGGTGTATGAGTTAGGGAAAGGTAAGGAAACTAAATCCAAATTTGAAAATGTAGTAGTCATTTCTCCAAGAGAGACAAATACTGTATGACCTTACTTATATGTGGAAACCAAAACAAACAGACAAACTTATAGATACAGAGGACAGATTGGTGGTTGCCAGAAGTGGTGGGCCGGTGGAGGGGGCGGTGGCTGAAGGGGGTTAAAAGGTACAAAGTTCAGTTGTAAGTTATATTTGTCCTGGAGATGTAATGTCCAGCATGGGGATTAGAGTTAATGATACTCTACTATATATTTGAAAGTTGCTAAGAGAATAGGTCTTAAAAGCTCTCATCACAAGAAAACAAAGAATTCTGTAACTGTGTATGATGATGGATATTAACTAGATTTATTGTGATAATCATTTTATAGTACATATGTATGTGAAATCATTATGTTGTATACCTAAAATGAATACAGTATTATATGTCTATTATATCTCAATCAAAAAGTCATTTATCTAAATATTAGTACATTAAAAATAATATATTTGTAAATATTGTGCGTATTATGGTATTATACCGAACAGGTATGATTATTATTGGAACAGGCATCTAGTCATTTCAAAATTAAATGCTAGAGTTGTAATTACTAATTTATTTTTATCCTGGTCTATCTACATAATAAATGACACATTTATAATTAAGTTCAATTGATTTAGAATACTTTATTAGCCTAACAGCATCTAACATTGCATTGACAACTATTGATGTATTTAATCAAGTTTGCTTTGGTGTGGAAGTCTTACCAATTTTTGAACACTGGGTTGTGAGTCTTACAAAATAACAATATTGAGTATTAAATTTCATTTATCACAAGTTTACCTAACATAGTTAGATATTTTGCTAGACTGTGAAATGTTTTCTTTCTTGGTGTACTTTATATTTCCCAGAATATGATTTAATCTGCACAATTGTTTATATGGAAAGTAAGAATATATTTTGCAAGGCACATATAAGACTGAAAACTTGATTTCAGTTGGCAAACTGTTTTGATTTCATTTTTAGAATGCTGTATTCTGCTTTCTTTTTAGTCTTCCATATAAAGAGTTTTTTGGTGGTGTAAGTGGACTGACAGTGGAACAATTTAGAAAGATCAATGGTTTTCCTAATGCCTTCTGGGGATGGGGAGGAGAAGATGATGACCTTTGGAATAGGTATGTTGAGGTACAAACTGCTTAATAATAGAATTTGTATAAATTTCCTTTCTGTTAGTTACATTGCACTTTGCTATTCCAAGAAAAGATTTTTGGGGATGGAAAATTTTTGAGGTTTTTAAATCCTGCTTTGTGTTTCTGCCTTTCTTCATTAAGAGTGCCTTCTGAAATTATTGACCACTCTCATGAGAGCATTCTTCTGCATTTCAAGTTAAATTCAGGTAGTCAATTTTTACATCACAGTTTATTCCTTTATATTTTTATTTCCATGTTTTGTAGAGTTCACTATGCTGGATACAATGTAACAAGGCCAGAGGGAGACTTGGGAAAATACAAGTCTATTCCTCATCACCATCGAGGTGAAGTCCAATTTTTAGGACGGTAAGTTTAATATCATCTTTAGATAAAAAGGTTTCAGAATTTTTTGATGTATGAAAAATTTGTTAAAAAACATTGCAGCCTCAAAAAAATCTTCGGCAGGGAATTTTCTGTTGATCTTATTTTCTCTTATAGAAGTAAAATATTGGGGCGCCTGGGTGGCTCAGAGGGTTAAGCCTCTGCCTTCGGCTCAGGTCATGATCTCGGGGTCCTGGGATCGAGCCCCACATCGGGCTCTCTGCTCAGCAGGGAGCCTGCTTCCTCCTCTCTCTCTGCCTGCCTGTCTGCCTACTTGTGATCTCTGTCTGTCAAATAAATAAATAAAATCTTTAAAAAAAAAAAAAAGAAGTAAAATATTTTTGTGATTGTTTCGAGGAGAGATATGTATATATTTATATTAAAGAGTCCGGTTAACTGTTTATATAAAAAGTGTTCCCTTAACATAAGATGTATTATTTCATAAAACATTTTATTTCTTAAGGATGTCTGAGTTGTAAGTGTGCAAAATAATTTTTTCAGGAGGCTTTTTTTAAAACTAGTAAAAATGCTAATTTAGATAATGGTTTAAAAGATCTTTAATTACATATGAAAAGTAAAAATTGAAAAAGCTTTAAATGCTTTAATTATAAGAATGACCCTGACCATATTTGTCGTCACTTTTTCTTTTTGAACATGTTCCTGTTGTTTTTCATTTTTTTCTCTAACACCATAGGTATAAATTGCTAAGATATTCAAAAGAGCGTCAGTACATCGATGGGTTGAACAATTTAATATATACGCCAAAAATACTGGTTGACAGGTTGTATACAAATATATCTGTAAACCTCATGCCAGAGTTAGCTCCCATTGAGGACTATTAAAGGAAACAGCTCTCCTGGCAAGACAGACTGCAATGCTGGATCATCAACTAGGAGCCTACTCTTACTGGAGGTCAGTGAGTGGTTGTGTCCTGGTGCCCTGCTGTGGTGAGAGCAAGAGCCCGCAGCCCTCAGTGTTTACAGTGTGAGATTAGAGACCATCACCCACACTCTTCTCTGAGACACACCCTCACAGCGAGCGCTGCAGATACCCAAGACCCTTGCTGAAATCTGGAAGTTAAGAGAGCTCCCTACAAAGAGAAAATTTTTATACTAAAATACATAATTTAATTCAAGAGAATGCTTTATTTCTGTTTAAACATGTTTTGTATATATGTGATGTAAATTAACGTGTTCAAATTGTTGAAAAAAAGATGTGTTGCAGTTTTGCATGTAATTGGTTATGCCTTTATCGGACTTTTATAGACATTTTTTATTTGCATGGAAGAAAACAATGCAAATTTATGTCACTAAACAAAGGTTAACCCTTGTGTGAAATGAAGGAACTGTCAATAATTGACAGTCAACTACCACAGTAAACTGTTACACTAGTTTTGAGCTTTAGACCTTAAGCCTTTTGTGTGGAAGAAGTCACAGCTTCCCTAGGGTTTTAAAGGGTAAGAAGAAAGTTACTTAGACCACTTTTCTTCCTACCAGAATTACCTGTTTTTTTCCTTGCTTGCAATCCCATCAGATTTTGCTAAATCACAACCATATTGTTTATGCACATTGCATGAGTATTACCAAGAAAATCTTAAACGTTGTGATGTTAACATGATATAAAGGACCTCTTTATGTTAACTGTCTTTCATGTATCTTTGGTGTAATTGTCAGGGATTTTGTGCCTCAAAAAATCTTCCTGAGGTAGCGTGTGTTTGTACACTGTATTTTTTTTTTAATTCATAGTGAACAGCACTTTTATTATTTCTAGTTCAGAAGAGCCAAAAAACAATTTTCATTTAAAAAAAATCAAAACAATTTTTTTAAAAGAATGAGCTATGGAAAACCCAGTAGTACTTATACAAATGAATTATAATATTAGATAAGAAATTAAATGTTCTATTTTTATGAAGATAAATGCTTAGTAGATAAAGACAAATTTTAAGTTTATTTCTCAGACTCATAGAATTTCAAGTTTTTGAAGGGAACCTTTAATGTCAACCAGTTTTATTAGAACTATATATTTTTTTCACTTTTAAGAAATTACATTCCTGGTATTCTTAAAATTGCCTCACTGAAATGATTTAATAGAATTATATTAAAATATATAATCAGTTATTTAAATGGATTGATGTTCTAGAACACTTCTCTGAGAACACTACCTGACATCCAGTATATTACTTGATCTTAAATTTGGATGAAGTTTTCATGACAAAACCAAACAATATCCTTATTTTGAAAATTATCAACTATAGGTAACCAAAGATTCTAGAAAATATCTTGATATTTTCACAAATTTAAAACAAAAAAATTATGTATCCGTAAAGTGAATCTTCAAAAACAATGAAGAACAATAGAAATCTATCTATGAGGGATGTTGGGATAATATTTGCCTCGTAGATTGTTCACCCAAAACAGAAATATGGTTATTTATTTCAGGTTTGAGTTTAATTTTGAAATACCATCTTTTATGGCAGTATTAGTAATACAAATGACCACAAACCAAATCATAACATAATTGAAATTCTTATACTTTGAAAAAACTGATCACTCTCCCTTATGATACAAACAGAATTTTCTGTATTTATTTCTCTAGCAGTATGTCCAAAATATTTATCTTCCATTTTTTTAGTGGTCCTCAAAATCACAAAAAATCAAACTCTGAAAAGTAAAAAAAAATTTGTTCTGAATTTGTGTATCTGTTCCTTTTGGTCTCATAGCCAATGCAGTTTTTTTTAATTTGGTGAAATGAAAGTTGGTTGGGAATGTTAACATTTGTGATCACTAACAAGATAGTAGGGGCATAGGAGCATAATTAACCCAATAATACTTAAATATTTTTTTAATACTTACATATTTTAACTGTGGGGAAAATTAGGGCTGTTTCTGAGTCTTACTTGTAAAACATATTTTTTGCTTTTTAATGTGGAGTGGCCCACATTTTGGAATTCTCATTTTGATACACATTTTACAGTTTTAGGAGAACTCAGTTCTGCTAGTATCTGCCTTATTTTCTTGGATTAAGTCTAACAGCCATTTTTGTTTTATGAGTGAGCCATGTTATTTTGCTCTCTTTGGTTTTGAATACGGTATGTCATCCCGTGAAAATCATCTCATTAGTTTGTTTTTCGCTTTTACCCTCTTTGTTTTGTTTTGGTTTTGTGTGCACATGTAAAATTGATTTTTGCCTATAAAGAATGACTTTTATATGTTTCTGGAAGGGTGATAGAGAGTTTTGCTCAGTTATCTTCATTTTATGAAAATAAATCTATTGCATAAAATTTAACAAATGCATTGCAAATGGAAATTTCTCTTATTGTCATGTTTGGTGGATTTCTTTGGGAACGTGTATTGATTGCCGACTGTATGAAGTGCAATGTGAGGTATGCCAACAGAAAAAGTATTATATTTCTGAACAAATCAAATCAAGCAAGTTGAAACCTTTCTAAAATTATGAAGACATCCTCTGATAACTTACCTGTTGTACTTCTTAGATAAACATGTTTTCTTAGATAGAAACATATATGTGGACATGGGGCTATCATGAGGTCCCTATGGCACTAACTGGGAAAGTTATATAGTGCCTTTTAGCTCGAGAGAGAAGTAATGATTAATGGCCTGTTTGTAGAAAAGAGAGGGAAAAGTGCAGACATGAGTATTTTTTTAAATCTACATTTAAATTTGTTTGTATTTTGTGAAAAGATGTTCAACCAGAAAACTTATTTACAGTATTATCCAAATATATAATTACGTGTTAAAAACTTGCCTAGACTTCTTTTCCAGCCAAACTATTGATATCCATTTTAAAACAAAATGGGAAAATAACCAATACAATACTGTCCTTCTTTTGGAGGCTTCCTACAAGTGAAAGCAGGTTTTGTGTCATTTTGTTTGGCCTCTGCGTATCTGCTATATTTCTCTGTGTACTTTTCAGATGAATATTAGTACTCTAGATTTGTTGCTTTGTATTTGCAAGTATGCCAATTGAGAGATCTAAAATGACCATAGTATTGTTTATCAGAAGGAGGAAGTGTACTTAAGATTATTTTATTTATTAGATCTGAAAGGCTTCTACATAAATGCACTGGAATAAATGCTAGTAATTTCTTGTACTCTCTTTTTTTTTTTTTTTTGCTTCTCATGGAAATGTTTGTACTTTTTTATCATTGTCTTTTATGAAATATAATGTTCTAAAGACTCCATGTGACACTGTTAATTATTTTCGCTCAGGAACTTTTGGGGGCTTACCTGGTTTTTTTATTGTGTTTGTTTTCCTAATTTTGAGGAGAACTGCTCATGAACACCTTGGTTGTACAAGATGGCAGTAGAAGCATAAAGCCGCCATTGTGTTTGCCTTTGCAGCAGTTTAAATACATTTAGTGATCTCAAAATTTAAATATTTTTCATCAGTATAACTAGTATACTACTTTACCAAGAAGAATATTTAAGGAGTCATTTTTAACATTTTTTCTGCCTACACAACTTGAGTAAACTAAGCTGGTGTGTTGTCCTTAGTGCCGTTCTTGTTTTCTAGGTATCAAGTAGTGTTGTGTGTTGTCCTTAGTGCCGTTCTTGTTTTCTAGGTATCAAGTAGTGTTGAAGATCTTTAAGGCAGATAATATCTAGGGACTAGATTTGTATCTGAGCCTGCAATGTGAAATCATGACTTTTGTCAACTTAAATTATTTATGTAATGAATTACTATTAATTTTTATGCATAGTATGAGCTATAGAGATATTGACACTGTATGTCACAAAGCCAATCATGAAATCATAATCATTTAGTCATTTAAATCATACAGAGCCGTAAAATTGAGTTGGCTTAGTCTGGACCAGGTTCCTACCTATGGTACAAAATGTGTCCTCTGATAAAACATGCCAACTCAGTTGAATGATCTTATATCTGTATTTTTTGTCCTATATTAAACACGTGGATTTAAGGTTGTGGAGATATTCTGGACCCAGATTGTTTTATTTAGAGAAGTTTCTTCTTGAGGAGCATATTACTATATTGCTCTTAATTTAAATGACTTCAGAGAACATAGTGCTATATCACTGAAAATTATACTATAATTAAAAGAAAAATATATAGGTTGTAAAAATAAAACTTCTATCCTTTCTCAACACATTTCTATAACATATTTTGATGGACCTGAATTTTGTTGCTAATTTCATCCTCCTAACTCCTTCAGTGAGGTCTTTGATCTCTAAGAACTATCAGACATTACCTACACTCATGGAATTTACTGTCTTTTGTGGATAAAACAGACATGGAAACAATCTAGAAACCTACACACTATGAAATGAAGTGCTCAATTGTGTCCTCTGCACACGTTGGTTTTGTATTTTACTAAAGCAGTATTAGGCCACTTGAGCATCTTTGTGGGAGAAGCTTTTCCCAAGGCACAGAATGTTTCTTTAAACCCTGTGCATCAGAAGGATGGAGGTCATTGTTTGTCTACAATAAATCTTGAGGATTTACAGTGAACTTTTAATAGGACTGTGTGGAAGGCAGTGGTTATAAGCAACGACTCTGGAATCAGACTGACCTGAGTTTGAATTTAGAGACCCACCCCGTTGTTCACTGTGACATTTTAGCAACATTTTAAACCCCTGTGGTTTTTAATTTCCTGATCTTATGTTTGAGGATGATAGGAACTACCCAAGGATTGCTGAAGAACTTAAATAAGCGGATCCTAACAGAGAAATGAACACAGCACCTGACACGCTGAGCAAAAACTTGGCTTATAATTAAGTCAGTTTTCAACTTGAGGGTGATAAGCTTTTCTTTCATGCAAATTATCTTAGGTCATATTTTTAAAATTATACTGCATTCTTTGATTCTTTTTGGAAATGAAGTTAGTGATTATACATGATAATGCATGTAAACAATTAGTAAAACTGGCAAAGATACAAAACTAAATTTTAGTAATAGTTGTGAGGAGAAATGCAGCAAGTGGCAATCCGGCTCCATTTGCTCAGAGGCTTGTGTGATTTTAGGTGGACAGCATGGGAAGCACCTGTTACAATACTTTGCTTATGGAAGGTGTCCAGTAACTTGTAGCTTTTCTCAGTATTGTGACTGAAAAAATTAAATGCCATGTGGGCTTCTACTGCCTTTTTCTCTCCTACCTTGGCTTTTGGGCTTGGCTTTTTCACCGGCTTTTTCCCCAGTTTCCACAGAAGACCCTTCTTCCTCTGCTTGCCATTCTTTCTCCGTTCTCCTCTGATCAGTAACTCAATTTCTGGGACCACTGGCTAACACTGTCCAGTGCTGGAAATGTTCTGGGACTGTGCTGTCCAGTATGGTAGCCTGTAGCCGTATGTGGGTGTTGAGCACTTGCAATGTGGCTGGTGTGAGCCAGGAACTAGATTTTTAATTTTGTCAAATCTTAGGTAAATGTAAATAGCCACATATAGCAGATGATCCCTTATACTTGCAGAACTTTAACCTCATGGTGTCCCCAAATACATGCAAAAGGCTCTCAAGCCAAATGTCCAGCTTAGAATTCTTAGCTCCTGACCCACATTATCAACTTACGGGTCATGTCAACCTGCTTGTTCACAGAAACTTAAAACTCAGCATGTCCTAGACTGAATTTATCATATTCACCTTCAAAATGTAGTCTTCCTCTTGTTTTACCATCCACTTAGTAACTCAAAGCCAAATCTGCGAGTCGCTCTCCCTTTATCTCCTCCGTACAATCAGCATTAGCTCAACCTCTGAAGTCCCTCTTCAATCTGTAG